AGGGGGAGAGATCAACCAAAAGGACTTAACATGCATGCATATAGGCCTGGGCCAATAGACACAGACAACAGGGGGGTGAGGGCATGAGTGGGGGGATAGGGGGTAATGTGGGTATAAGAATGCATATGTAATAACTTAATCAACAAAGAATTTTATTTTAAAAAAAGAAACAATTGAATGGAAACAGAATGTGACATAACAGCAAGAAGTGATCAAGGACAGACAAAGAGGTAACTGAGGGCCTGAACATGGAAGGCAGGAGACCTTAGATCAAATATATTTTAAAACTGAAAACAAAAATATGAGTCAGACCTTACTGAACACAGTGTTAGTGATTTTACCTTAATAAGAAATGTAATAATAGTTTACACTTACTGAGTGCTACTTGCCAAGTATTGTCTTAAGCATTTACATGTATTCATCATGTAGTGAAACCTCACACAGGTCTGGCGCTGACCTTAGTTTGGGATTCTATGATGTCTAGGCAGCTGTGTTTGGATGCTTCTGGTTTTCCTCTCCTTTTCCATAGGAAACTGGTGGGGTTTGGGCAGGCATCAGTGGTCAAAACCAAATCATCCCTTTCTAATAATATAGTCTCATATTTTAAAATTCGGGAGTCTGTCAGCCATCTCCTGGCTCTTTGATTTAGTATACTCCTGACCTGATGTGGAGTGCTTACTATTAAAGTTCCTCCAAAAGTTAATTTCCTGCTTTCCTCTACCAGTTAAGGCAGTAGCCCCCACAGCCTGTACACATCCAGGCCATCCTCTGGAAATGGGGTCAAGGAGCTGGAAAACGAAGTCCACAGGTTGTCTTTCCCCTTCCCCCAGGTCTGGGTGAGCATCCCAAGGGCTACTCCCTGGTCCACTGTTATAAACAAATGGAATGGTTTCTCCGAAGATGGTAGGGCTAGGACTGGAGCTGAAATGCGAGCTTATTTCAGTTTCTCTATTGTCGTAGTTTCCTCTGGAGTCCATGTTAGGGGGCCAGGCTCTTCTTTTAACAGCTTGAGATATAGAGCTTTTGTCTGTTGAACATATGAGTGAATCCACAACAAGCAATGACCGGTTAGTCCCAAGAACTTTCTGAGCTCCCTTTTCGTTTGGGATATAGGCAGAGTCACTATGCCTGAGATCCGCTCTGGGTTCATTCTTCTTTTTCCTTCACTAATTAAATGCCATAAGTACTTAACTTTTCTACAAATTGTAGTTTACTTTTGGAGACACACAACCCTTTCCTCCCCAGCTGAGCATATTTGTAGTAGTTTCTGACACTTTATCTTTCCTCTCCCCAGATATGAGGAGGTCATCTATGTACTGTAGAAACTGGGTCCCTGAAAGAGGTTGAAACTTCTCTAGTACTCTTTCTTTTTTTTTCTTCCCCCAAGCCCCTGGGCAGAAAGGCATTCCCTTGGCAAGTCCTAGCCCCCTGCTATGCTGTGAGCACAGTGCCAGCCAGACTGCCCTCTTGGACAGGTTACCAGCGTGTGCAGCTTGTCCTCCAGCTCCTGGTTGGTCCTCTGGGAAGCTGTGTAGCTGTTCTGCAGCCTGCGGAACTTGTCCTTAAATTTGTCCATCTCCTCGCGGCTCTGGCCCAGCTCCAGCTCCAGGCAGTCCTGCCCAATTTCCAGCTCTCGCTCCAGGGCCTCGGTGCGCCTGGTGGCCAAGGCCAGGCGCCTGCGAAGCTCTTCATTCTCCTGCTGCAACAGCTTCATCCTCTCTGCGTCAGTCAGGGACTCCTGCTGCTCAAGCTGGGACCCAGGAGCTTCCAGCCGCATCTCCTGATGCTCAGGCGGTGCTTTGCCGTAGGGTTTCTTAGCAGGGGTCGCACTGGTCATTCTGGGAGGTGAGGGCTCCTCAACCTGCGTCTGTTTGTCAGCAGCTTGCTCTGTTCTGCTGTCCGGGAGTTAGCCTTTGCCTCTCCGCATCCCACGGCCCCTCCCCTTCCTCTTGCCAAAAGCTCAGGGTTAGTGTCTTCTCCCCAACCAGCCAGCTCTCCTGGTTAGCACGGTTAGTGACAGACTCATGGCAGACACCCTCCAGGCACTCCATATAAACAGACAACTTGATTTGTGAGCAGCCCAACTCCGGAGCCGCTTTGGGGTTGGGCTTTGGCAGGTCGCTACCTCTTCCTCCAGGCAGGCACTGTGATGCTTCCAGTCCCTGGGGCCCCAGGGTCTTCAGTTTCTTCCGAGGCCCGCTGCCTTCAGGCTGCCATCTTGTCGCCTCTAGTACTCTTTCTAGAATCTGGCCAAATAAATTTGGGGCCTCTTGAAGTCTCGTGGTAACACGGCCCAGCGATACTGCTCTTTCCTCACTTGTTGGATGCTCCCATTCAAAAGCAAAGAGGTCTCTGCTCTTAGGGTCTAGTGGACATGCCCAAAATGCATCTTTTGGATCCACTACACTGAACCATTTGTGTTCAAATGGGATTTTTCTGAGGATGGTGTAGGGGTTAGGCACAACAGGATGGCAGGCCTGAACAATCTGATTTATAGCCCTCAAATCCTGCGCTAGTCTGTATAACCCAGTGATGACGAACCTTTTGAGCTCGGCGTGTCAGCATTTTGAAAACCCTAACTTAACTCTGGTGCTGTGTCACATATAGAAATTTTTTTATATTTGCAACCATAGTAAAACAAAGATTTATATTTTTGATATTTATTTTATAGATTTAAATGCCATTTAACAAAGAAATATCAACCAAAAAAATGAGTTCACATGTCACCTCTGACACGCGTGTCATAGGTTCGCCATCACTGGTATAACCCATCAGGTTTCTTAACTGGGAGGATTGGGATGTTGTATGGTGACATATAGGGCTCCAACAGTACATCCTCAATTAATCCCTCAATTACCAGTTGTAGGCCCCTCCTACCTTTAACATGGATGGGGTATTGCCTTTTACAAACTGTTTCCCCTGGCTTTTCATATTTTTAATTAAATTTAAATTCTTTATTGTTGAAAGTATTACATATGTCTCCTTTTTCCTCCATTGACTTCTCACGGCTGCTCCTGCTCCCCAGCACATGCCCTCACCCCCCTACTGTATGTGTCCATTGGTTATGCTTATATGCATGCATACAAGTCTTATGGTTGATCTCTTAGCCTCTCCCCTCCCCTCCTCTCCCTTCTCCTGCCTTTCCCACAGTCTCTTCGATGCTTCTATGTCTCTGGATCTATTTTTGTTCATCAGTTTATGTTGTTCATTATATTCCACAAATGAGTGAGATCATGTGATATTTATCTTTCTCTAACTGGCTTATTTAGCTTAGCATAAGGCTCTCCAGGTCCATCCATGCTGCTGCAAATGGTAAGAGTTCTTCCCTTTTTACAGCAGCATAGTATTCCATTGTATAGATGTACCACTGTTTTTAATCTCCAAGAGAACTGCCCTTGCTTTGTGTCCAGGACATGTCTCAGTCACACATATTCAACCTCCAAAAATAACCAACTATCAAGGCAGTACTATAGTCCAAATTTCCTACCTTGGCCCCTACATGAGGTTGCCAGGTTGCCATGGTGCCTGCTTTCTGTTTGCTGTGTCGGTTTCGCCATCTTCTGAAAAACAGTCTAGGGCTTCTCTATAACTTCCACAGAGCAGGCCACCAGAAATCAGGTGGATGTGTCTCCCCCCTGACTGGAGGCCATTCCACATAGACACAGAGGTCCCGGACAAGCCCTCAAATTTGTGAGAAACATACTTGCCTGTTCAAACTCAAATAATGGACTTGGAGACATGAAGTACAGTGAAAGCAAAACTTTTAATGGTGGTCTTGCAAGATTAGGTGTCTAGTATGCAAGCATACCCAGGGGACAGTTACAGCAAGCAATTTATCCCTAGTGAGCTAGTCCCTTCCCCGATTCCTCATTGGCTGAGTACTATGAGTGTATGCTCTCTCTGGACAGCACCTAAATTTCCTATTGGGTTATTTAAAAAGTGGGCTTTTGAGTTGTATCCACCTCCCTTTGTCTCTTTGTGGTGGGAAGACCTTCCTGGGGTATGTGCTTTCTGACACATATACAGTCTTTACAAACTTCCTCATTTTATTGCAATCTATCCTATCTACCTTCCCCCATATGCTGTTTGTTACAGGGACTTTCCAGTTGCATTAACTAGTTAAGCAAAATTGGCTCTTAATATTTTTCATGTTGAAAATGGACTACTGAGGCTTATTCTTAATAAGGAGAAACCTGAGTTTCACTAAAAAGGAATAAAGCTAATACAGAAAATCTTTGCAAACAACATCAACTTTTCTGCAACATGTGTCAGCCTTCACAGCATTTACAATGTGTTTAGTCAGCTCTTGGTGTATGGCTTCAGGATTGAGAAGAGAGTTTTGTTTTGTTTAATTTTATTTTATTGCTCAAAATATTACAAAGAATAGTACATATGTTTCCTTTTTTCCCCATTGACCTTCCCCCGGCCTCCCCTACACCCCAGTCTCTGCGCCCATTGGTTATGCTTATATGCATGCATACAAGTTCTTCAGTTGATCTCTTAACTACCCCCCCCCCGCCGCCCCAACACTCCCCAGCCTTCCCTCTGTAGTTTGACAGTCTGATGCTTCTCTGCCTCTGTATCTATCTTTTTGTTCATCAGGTTATAATGTTCTTTATTATCCATAAATGAGTGACATCATGTGGTGTTTTTCTTTCATCAACTGGCTTATTTCACTTAGCATAATGCTCTCTAGTTCCATCCATGCTATTGCAAATGGTAAGAATTCCTTCTTTTTTACAGCAGCGTAGTATTCCATTGTGTAGATGTACCACAGTTTTCTAATCCATTCATCTTTTGATGGGCATTTAGGCTGTTTCCAAATCTTAGCTATGGTAAATTTTGCTGCTATGAACATAGGGGTAATATATCCTTTCCAATTGGTGTTTCTAGTATCTTGGGATATAGTCCTAAAAGTGAGATTACTGGGTCAAATGGGAGTTCCATTTTTAACTTTTTGAGGAAACTCCATACTGTCTTCCACAGAGGATGCACCAGTCTGCATTCCCACCAGCAGTGAAGGAGGGTTCCTTTTTCTCCGCATCCTCTCCAGCACTTGTCATTTGTTGATTTGTTGATGATAGCCATTCTGACAGGTATGAGATGGTACCTCATTGTTGATTTGATTTGCATCTCTCAGATTTTAGTGACTTTAAGCATGTTTTCATATGTCTCTTGGCTTTCTGCATGTCCTCTTTCGAAAAGTGTCTATTTAGGTCCTTTGCCCATTTTTTTCATTGGATTGTTTATCTTCCTTTTGTTAAGTTGTTTGAGTTCCTTGTAGATGTTGGAGATTAAAACCTTATCAGAGATGCCCTGGCCGGTTTGGCTCAGTGGATAGAGCGTCAGCCTGTGGACTGAAGGGTCCCGGGTTCGATTCCGGTCAAGGGCATGTACCTTGGTTGTGGGCACATCCCCAGTAGGAGATGTGCAGGAAGCAGCTGATGGATGTTTCTCTCTCATCAATGTTTCTAACTCTCTATTCCTCTCCATTCCTCTCTGTAAGAAATCAATAAAAATATATTAAAAAATAATAAAAAAATAAAACCTTATCGGAGATAGCATTGGCAAATATGTTCTCCCATGCAGTGGGATTTCTTGTTGTTTTGTTGATGGTTTCTTTTGCTGTGCAGAAGATTTTTATTTTGATGTAGTCCCATTTGTTTATTTTCCCTTTAGTTTTCATTGCCCTAGGAGCTGTATCAGTAAAGATATTACTGCGACAAATGTCTGCTATTTTGCTGCCTATGGCTTCTTCTACGATTTTTATGGTTTCCCCACTTATGTTTAAGTCCTTTATCCATTTTGAGTTTATTTTGTGTATGGTATAAGTTGGTGGTCTAGTTTCATTTTTTGCAAGTATCTGTCCAATTTTCCCAACACCATTTATTGAAGAGACTGTCTTGACTCCATTGTATGCTCTTGCCTCCTTTGTCAAATATTAATTGAACATACTGGCTTGTGTCAATTTCTGGGTTCTCTGTTCTGTTCCACTGGTCTATATGTCTGTTCTGGTGCCAGTACCAGGCAGTTTTGAGAACTGGCTTTGTAGTATAGCTTGATATCTGGTATTGTGACCCTCCTACATTGTTCTTCTTTCTCAAGATTGCTGCAGCTATTCAGGGTCTTTTTTTATTTCAGATGAATTTTTGGAGAGTTTGTTCTAGGTCTTTGAAGTATGCTGTTGGTATCTAATGGGGATTGCGTTGAATTTATAAATTGCTTTGGGTAGTATGGACATTTTAATGATGTTGATTCTACCAATCAATGAACATGGTATATTCTTCCATTTTTTCATGTCTTCCTCTATCTCTTTTTTCGATGTCCTGTAGTTTTCTGAGTACAGGTCTTTTATGTCCTTAGTTAAGTTTATTCCTAGATATCTTAATTTTTTGGTGCAATGGTAAATGAGATTTTTTTTCACTTCTCTTTCTGTGAGTTCATTATTCATGTATAAAAAGGTCATATATTTCTGGGTGTTAATTTTGTATCCTGCTACTTTACCAAATTCACTTATTAGGTCCAGTAGTTTTTGATAGAGTCTTTGGGGTTTTCTATGTATAGTATCATGTCATCTGTGAATAAGGACAGTTTTATTTCTTTTTCAATTTGGATGCCTTTTATTTCTTCTTCTTGTCTGATCGTTATGGCTAGCACTTCCAGTACTATATCAAACATGAGTGGTGAAAGTGGGTATCCCTGTCTTGTTCCCATTCTTAGGGGAAATGAGTTTAGTTTTTGCCCATTGAGTATGATGTTGGCTGTAGGTTTGTCGTATAAGGCTTTTATTATGTTGAGGTATGGTCCCTCTATTCCAAGTTTGCTTAGAGTTTTTACCAAGAAAGGGTGTTGGATTTTGTCAAATATTTTTTCTGCATCGATTGATATGATTATGTGATTTTTGTCTCTCAATTTGTTGAACCATCCTTGCATCCCTGGAATAAATCCCACTTGGTCATGGTGTATGATCTTTCTAATGTAATGCTGAATTCAATTTGCTAGAATTTTGTTGAGGATTTTAGCATCTATGTTCATCAAGGATATTGACCTGTAGCTATCTTTTTTTCTTTTTTGTGTGGTGTCTTTATCTGATTTTGGAATTAGGGTAATGCTGGTTTCATAGAAAGAG